ACTCCCAAGCGTCTGTCCACTTTCTACTCACAGCCACAAACAGCACAGATGCGGAGGTGGTGAAAATAGGAACACGTTGGAACAGGCCCCCATTTTTTTTTTTTAAACGTCGGTGTATCAGTAAAAAGGTTATCGGAAAGAAATGCTCAAGCATACGTCACAAAACTGTCACTGTACTTCAGTACGTTATTCAAAGCATTTGTACTTGGCTACTTCCTATCACATGACAGCACAGATGTTAGTAAAGAGCAGCAATCCCCGGAGCGGATTCTTTCCTCTGAGAAACGCTTGGAAAGGAGAGGAAAAAGGAAAAAAAAAAAAAAAAGGGAAAGAAGTTGGCAGGGCTGTTGCTGGGCAACTCAACCTTTTTTCCTGCTCTTCCTGCTTTAGATAATAGAACACAAATGAGGCCAAACTTCAGCAAGATTGAGGGGGGGGGAAGCCGGGGGGGAACACCAACACATGAAATGCACGGAAACGGCACGCGAGGGTGAGTTTAAGAAATGTATTATTTCAACTACACCTGCTTCTGTTGTTATCTATTTTTACCGACATGCGAATGCATATTTGGTGTTTTGTTTGATTTTTTTTTCTTCCTTCCTCATGCCAACGCAGGAGGACGAGCATGGAACAGGAAATGGAACTTTGTGCCAACGAGGCTCACTTGACCCTCTTCTGGCTGCTTGATCCAATCTGGCTAAAGCAGCTAGAAGATTGTTTTCCTTTGATTTTTACTATTAAAACTCATTTTCACAGGTCACTAAAAGGCTGCTAACCTGATACTAACATGACCAAAATATGATCTCAACTTTTAACGGGGCTAACAAAGTACCAAAAGTCGCTGATGTTCATCGCAGATGCTACCCCAGGCCTAACACGTTAGCATCGTCGTGAAACGTTCTCGATTTTTGCGTGTACCTGGCTTGAGAAACGATGCTTTGCTAACAAATGCGCTAACATGTTCACAGGTCCAAGAGAGGCTGACATGCGTCCAAAGTAGGCCACAGTCACTTTAAAAAAAAAAAAAATGACCAGCAGCCACCAATACTTTGACAACAGGGGCTCACTGACAGCCAACTCGTTGTGATGCTTTGCTGTTCGACTCTTCAGTTTGCTGCTAACCCGCGCCGACACATGAAAATGAATCGGTGATTAACTTATGACTAGCTTTTATCTTATTTGAACACCCCAGAGAAGGTTTTGTTCTCATTTCTGCGCTGTGACACGATGCCATTGTCGTACGTACTCCGTTGGAGAGCCCTTTTGCCGTTTTTAATGTGAGGTTGGGAGGAAAAAGAGCCCCATTGTTGCCGAGGGTCAGCAAATCAAATGAGCGATTGTTTTGATGCTCTACCACCAACATGTGTGACTTTAATTAGGCCATTTCTTTTTTTTTTTCTTCTGAGTGTGGTTGGGGAGAAAGCCAGAAAATTTGCCTTTCAATTGACTCTTTGAGGCTCTTGACATGCAGTGGCTACAAAAAGTCTACACACCCTTATTCAAATGGCATTTTTTGGGGCGCGGAGGGGGGGCAACAAACGAATGAGTTAAATCAATTCAAAACTTTTTTTCACCATTGTGACTTGAACTGGGACACCTCAATTGGGGAACCAAAAATGTTTTGGGATGGTTTTTTTGGAACTGCGAGCGGAAAGTAAGCCTTTGTGCGGTTGCAGAAGTGTGCACACCCTCTGTAATTTATTATTATTATTTCATGTCTGGGCTCTGCGGTAGGGTGGCTTTGGAAATTTCCTTCACCAGTATGACAAAACTCATGATCCCAAAGTCCAACTGTTTGCGCAAAGTATGCTTGCCCTGAAAACATTACTGCTCATCACCAAAATCGGATAGAAAAACTGCTTCTGAAATCCTAATATTCGGTCGGCCTGTCTATAGTTCGGTGCTATAAGTAGTCCCAAGTAGCTTTACCCCCCCCCCCAAAAAAAAAAAAAACATTTCAAAGTAGCCGCGACCAATTCAACCAAACATTACGGAAAACTTTGCACTTTTTTGACATCGCCTTGGGTCAATCACGACCTTGTCGTGCGATCGGCGTGTACGTCATGGCCACAAGCACACAGACATCACTCCGCAACTTCACTTTTAACACAACCTTCCCCGTCGTTTCGCTCATCATTATGCAACGACGGTAACTCGCGAGCTTACCTATCGGTGAGCGTTGTCTGTGTCCCGCTCATTGGGCTTCCCTTGCTGTTGTCCAACTTTTTTTTTTCAGCCGAATAACATGTTCATAACGCCGTTTTAGTGTAATAAAAAGAACACTTGTCTCTTCGGGCTTGGTGAAGCATCCAACCAGAATCCGTTATATTCTTTTTGGGGAGTGTTTCCTGGAAGAAAAAAAAAATCACAACTGCCGCTCCTCCACAAGCTTTTTTTCCTCTTAAGAGTCTGTTCTATTTTCTCCACCCTTTGTTCTGTTTGAAAACAAACAAGCAAAAAAAAGAACGTAAAAACACTCCCACGGAGTGTACTTTACTATTAGCACTCCGAGACGGTTGTATCTTTATTTTCCGTGGGAAAGTGTTCCCTCATGACACCGTGGTGTCATGGATGGATCCTGGAAGGGTGAGGGGAGGGGGATTGTGTCAAACTTCGGCCGGGTTCAAAATCCGCAATTAAAAGTTCGCCGTCGCGTCCCCTGTCAATGGCGTCGTCTCTCAATCACCAATTCGGCCCACTGCAATTGTTTTTTTCCCCCAATCAATCTTCACACGGATGCAAAATTGAAGGAAATGCTTTCGCCTCCGTCCTCTTCTCTTCCCCTCGGTTGGCAAAAAAAAAAAAAAAGATGCGTTCAAATGCTCATCGTAATCCTTCGAGGGACTGATTAAAACTGCAAAATTATCAAATGAAAATTTATACCTACTCCACACCGTTAGTGAGTAAAGCTCAATTAATACAGAAATGATCATAAAACAAACTGGAGTCACAATCGAGTCTTTTACGTGTGTCTTCTGCCCACGTAGGCGTGTATTTGAACGGTCCGCGAAGTCATCGTTTGATTTTGAGGCTCCGCTGTTATTTGTCCCCGGTAGGTGGCAGCACTCGATAAAAGCGGGACAAAAAAAGCAATAAAAAAATCCCACGAAGGAGCAAGCTCCTTCCCTTTGGGCTGATCTCTGCTAACAGACAACGTAAACATTGGCACATTTGACTTTAAACTCATTTTTCGGGCGCTTGTCGCTCCGGTTCACTCGAGCAGAACATCGCTACGCAGCGACCTTGGATAAAATGTAACCGTCAGCTATGGCTGTTTGGAGTTGTGTATTTTTAACGCTGCCGAGGCCTTGTGTTTGTCCTGCTAACGAAAGGTAAGCCACTCCAGCAGAGGCTAACATTCGAAGCTAACGTCAGTCATTTGACCTCCCTCGCCCCCCGCCGCTAAACATCATTTGCTCTTATGAAGTAATGACACCCTTTGGATGCGTTATCGTTTGCTGAACCTAATGTGTTCCCCGTGGCGGGAAATAGTCAGTAAAATGACAGAACGCACACACCCATCGTCCACAGCCGTTTCCCGTGATTCTCTGTGAGTTGCTTGGGAGAAACAATGAGGCGCGCGACCTGTCATTATTGTTTGCATCGTTCCACTTGTAGTTCAAGTTTTAGCACTGTCAAATTAGTGTCATATTAAGGCTGGCTTAAATTCAAACCCGGGCAAGTGATTGCCCTCGCAGAGCTGCGAAATTGCCATCCAGATTGATCAATTTCACCTGTGCCTTGAGATATGACAATAAAGTTGTATCCAATCCAATACGGGCGCCCTGACTCTTGTGTGTGGTTTAAATCCGAGACACCAACTTTCAAGTGTTAGGCGCCGTGTTTCTTGCGAGCCGTGCTCCCACATGTAGACGGACAAGAACACAATACTCACAGGCAGATCTTCTTTATCCTCTGAAGGAATAAGACTAATTCTATTGCAGCTTCCTGAGGGTTTTTTTTTTTTTTATGCGGGGTTAGTCTGCCAACTGTATTTTTAGTGAAGATAATGTTGCCATTATTGTTGTCGTTAGCCAATGATTCAGCTGGAGAAACCGCTGCTGACTGGGACCATGCCGGTGGTCTGGCCCACCATCCTTGACCTGGGCAGGGATGAGTGCAAAAGGATACTGCGCAAACTGGGTAAGCTCCAAGTTGGCATCCTCGGTCAAAAGATTGCCATCCAGATCAGCACGGTTTCTAATATCTCAGCATGTGAAAACTGCCATCGGCACAAGATAGAGAAAGGTTTAAGAGACTCTCTTCATGGCGGATGAGGATGAATCGTAAAACCCATCTCGGTTCGAGGTCCTTTGTTTGTATTCGAAGGAGCTTTATGCGATTGAGGCCCCCCACGGTATGAACGCGTTGTCCCCCTCTTGGCAGAGCTGGAAGCGTACGCCGGCGTCATCAGCGCCCTGCGAGCTCAGGGAGACCTTACTAAGGACAAGAAGGATCTGCTGGGAGAGCTCACCAAAATCCTCGGGTAATTCTTAGCGTGTGCCACTTTTTTTTTTTTTGGGTGTGCATTTCTAATTTTCCATGACATGATTCCCAAGGTAATTATGGGTATGCGTAATAGTTCCACAATTCTCCACTGATGCAAACAATCCCAAATTGATAGCGTTCAACTCATTCAAGACATTGATAGAATTATTTTTCACATCCCTTGAAATGAAAGCAGATTTCCTTTCCCCTACTGGTACAAAACCATCGCAACTCCAAAAGGACATTGCGGAATCTATTTTTCCACATTGCATTAATTTCCAGTCCATCCAAAAATTCAAGACGACATCAGTTTCCATTTCCTTCCACAGTTCTCCACCAACGTGAAAATTGTACAGCTCATTCTGGACATTTGCTTCCCATTCTGCAGTGACTATTTTGCTCTTGGGTTAGCTTACCTACTGTTAGCGGGGCTAGCGTCGAAACAATTTTCATTACAAATTGCAAAATCGCAGCAAACTCAGTCGCTGCAATTTCAGCAATTCTCCTTGTACGAGTACTGCAATTCAGTATCTTTCAAATGACCAGTCGTCACTTTGTACTTTTTCCACATTCCGCGGCATTTCAGCTTGGCATTCGCAGGCAAATGTTTCCACAAATTGCATTCTCTGGTTTCACTTGACTTCCTCTCCTTAGCATCTCAACCGAGCGCCACCGCGCCGAAGTGCGCCGCGCCGTCAACGACGAGCGCCTTTGCACCGTCGCGTACCAGTGAGTGACTCGCCGCCGGCGAAAGCTTCGGTCGGTAATCAAGTGCGCCTCACTCACCCGCCTTTGGTGGCGTCCCCGCAGCATGGCGGGTCAGAACAGCTCGTCCGAATGGTCCATCGAGGGCCGCCGGCTGGTGCCGCTGATGCCCCGGCTGGTCCCGCAGACGGCCTTCACCGCCACGGCCAACGCGGTCGCCAGCGCCGCCGCCACTCACAACGCCTCCATGCTGTTGCCGGCTGAGACGGGGAACAAGGAAGGTGGGTGGGCGCCATTTTGTCACCAAGCTGGGTTTCGCGTTGACGAGAGCCCAGTGCCGCCATGTGACCGTCTCGGGACACCCAAAAAGGCGAATAGCTCCACTTGTCTCAGTCTCCGCACGAGTCTGACAAACTAGCGGCAGAAAGCACAAAGGCAGGCTATTGCTCTGTGACATCGCCTGTCACAAGGTTCTTTGATTTTTTTGCAGCACTTGTGACATCACTTTTTCTCTTGTGTCGCAACAAAGGCGATTCCGCTGGGGTCACAAATGTAGTCCAAAGAGCTGCATTTTTTTTTTTTTTCTCAGCTTGTCTGTTTTAGTTTCTCACTGCCCTGAAAACATTAAAAACTCCTCACTGCCAGCCCTCCCAGTGAAAAGGGTCCTCCCCCGACGTGCTGAGTTTGTCCCTTCTTAGGGCTGTGGCACCTGAACAATCTGAGTTTCATATTGAGTCATTTAGCGCCATCTGGTGGCGCCTTTGGCCATTTTCCCAAAAAACAAAAACCCCAAAAAAACATGGGGACCATTTTCAGTGAGTAGCTGGGGATTGGTTGCACTGGGGGGGAAAACGTGTCAAATGGAGAAGCGCACAAATCTGAAGTGACAAGACTCCTCCGCCTTTTCCTCGCAGTGGTCGTGTGTTACTCCTACACGAGCACGACGGGCACCTCCAGCAGCTCCACGGCATCCAGCGGCGCCACGGGAACGGCCACCAAGTCCCCGCGGCCGCCCAGCCCGTCGTCCAGCGTGGTGGTGCTGCCCAGCGGAAGCACCGTCTACGTCAAAAGTCGGCCGAACGACACCGCGCGACGCTCTCCGCGGAAAGCGGCGCGTGCGTAAAACGGACGTGCTCTTGATTTTAGGCGTGAGCTGCTCCGATGAGGACGAGAAGCCGCGCAAGCGACGTCGCACCAACTCGTCCAGCTCGTCGCCGGTGCTGCTGAAGGAGGTGGCCAAGGTGTCGTCGCCCGTGGCCAAGCACGTGGCGGCGGCGCCGGTGGTGAGCGGCAGCCCCAAGATGAGCAACATCATGCAGAGCATCGCCAACTCGCTGCCGCCGCACCTGTCGCCCGTCAAGATCACCTTCACCAAGCCCACCATTCAGACCACCAGCAGCACCACGCAAAAGGTGGCCGCCGCACATCTGCAACCGGCAATAATCCTTTTGCGTTCAACTCAACTGGCGTTCTCCTTGGCAGGTGATCATCGTGACGACGTCGCCCAGCTCCAACTTTGTGCCCAACATCCTGTCCAAGTCCCACAACAACGCCGGCGTGTCCAAGTTGGCCTCCAGCTCCATCCTGACCACGCCCACCCACAAGCAGACGGTGGTCTTCCCGGCGGCCACTTCCAGCCCCTCGGCCGCGCCGGCCGTCACCGCCGTGGTCTCCTCGTCGCCCTCGGCTGTCATGTCCACCGTGTCCTCGTGTAAGTGGCGTCACGGAGCGGAACGTTCGATGCCGCGGCAGAAACCTCAAATGAGCAAACGTCTCATCCCTGTTTTGTGCTTTCAGGCGCCGCCTCGGCCGGCGTGAAGGTGGCCTCGGCCAGGCTGCCCTCCCCGAAGACCCTGGTGGGCTCCCCCGCGCAGATCCTGGGCCAGTTCCCCAAGCAACAGTCGCCCAAGCAGCTGCAGGCGTCGGCCATGGGGGCTTCCGGCGTGGGCCAGGCCGCCGCCGCCTCGCCGGGCCCCAAGCCCACTATCCAGATCAAGCAAGAGTCTGGTAAGAAACAGAGAATGAGGTGTTTATGGATTTATTGATTTTATAGGGTTTGCTTCCCCACATTTGTAGGATTCCCACTTTTCACATGATGCACAAAAAAGCCCCACGTTCATTTGTGAACGAATTTTGTGTGCGCAGGGGTGAAGATCATCACTCAGCAGGTCCAGCCCAGCAAAATCCTGCCCAAGCCGTCGTCAGGGGGTCTGTCCAGCAGCAGCAGCAGCAGCAGCAGCTCCTCCCCCATCATGGTGGTCAGCAGCAACGGAGCCATCATGACCACCAAGTTGGTCACTCAGCCCACAGGTTGCTGCCTCATTAGCTTTTCAACAAGTCCTTCTGGGAAACTGGCGGTGAAATTTCACCCCAAAAAGTTGAATAGAATGTGAGCAAGTGGTAGGGGACCGAGCCCAAAGTCAAGCAGGTCGCTTCGGCCCTTTCTTGGCACCAAAGCGAAACCGCTATGGCATATTCTCGACTGCGCCCAAGGTGCTAAAGGTCCTTCTGCAACGTTTGTGCTTGCAGCCACCCAGGCCACCTACACGCGGCCCGCCGTCACGCCCAACCTCGGCGCCCGCATCTCGGCCTCGGCCGGCGCCGCCACCTACGTCAAGACCACGAGCGGCAGCATCATCACGGTGGTGCCCAAGTCCTTGGCCACGCTGGGCGGGAAGATCATCAGCAGCAACATGGTGTCAGGTACAAGTGGTGTCTATGTTTATATTATAGATATCTGCGTAGGAATATGTCGATAGTGTGTGTACACAGATGTGTTTTGCGTCCACAGGCACCACCACAAAGATCACCACCATCCCCATGTCGTCCAAACCCAACGTGATCGTGGTCCAGAAAACCAGCGGCAAAGGCGCCACCATCCAAGGGCTGCCCGGCAAGAACGTGGTCACCACGCTGTTGAACGCGGGGGTCAGTCAATGCCATTCCACAATGTTTTTTTTTTTAAACAGGCACCAGCGTACCTCCGGGTGGTAGCACATCGGGGACCGTGTACCGACCTCAACTCAAAAAACGCAAGAGAGTCCACAATTTGCAATTTCATTAAAAAAAAAAAAAAAAGTCTTGCACCGTTGTGGCCGTGAACAAGAACCTTGATGGTTCGTTTGCTGGCCGCACCGTCGCAGGTCACCCGGAAATACGTGTAACATGGCGGCGGCAAAGTCTGCGGCAAGTAGTAGCATTGAGCGCGTGAGGATTCATTTTAACAAGCGTTGTACGCCGGCGTCAGGGAGAGAAGAGCCTGCAGGCCGTCCCGGGGACCAAACCGGCCATCATCACTGCCGGCAGGCCCATCACCAAGATGATCGTCACGCAGCCCAAAGGCCTGAGCGCCGGCGCCGCGTCCGCCGCCACCACCAAGATCATCCCCACCAAGATCGTCTACGGCCAGCAGGGCAAGACGCAGGTCAGACTTTCGTCACTTTCACTTCTGGGCTGTGCTAACCACTGTCAAGCAAGTGTAAAAATAAACCCTGATTGCTCTGTCCAAAAGAGATTACCAATCTCAATGTGTTTTTTTTTCTTCCTTCAAAATTCGAAATTGCAACTTTTTTTTTTTTTTTTTTTTTTTTGCTGCCTTTTTCTGGTGCAGGTGCTCATCAAGCCCAAGCCAGTGTACCAGACGGCCGTGGTGAGCGAACAGACGCGGCAGCTGGTCAGCGAGACCCTGCAGCAGGTCACCCGCTCGGTCGACGCGGGCCACGTTACCGCTCAAGACGGCGCTGCGAAGGACGAGTGCGGCGCCATCGCGGAAACCGCCGGCTCGGCCAGGGAAATGTCACACGGTAGGCGGGGCGCCGCGGTGGCAAAGTCCTGGCGATGGCTCTTGAAGCTGCATGGCATGTGCGGTAAGATTTTTGAATGCGGTCTCCGGCTCATCCCTCTCGCAGAGACGCAGGCGGTGCTGCACGTGCTGTCCTCCCGCGAGCAGGAGTGGACGGAACAGGAGGTGTCGGTGGAGTCGGCCCCGACCATCATCTACCAGGAGGTGACCGCCGCCGAATCCCAGTCCGCCACGTCCACCATTAAAGCTCTGCTGGAGCTGCAGCAGACCTCAGGTAAAATATGACACCCCCGCCCTTGGTTACGAACTCCTCACCTCATCTGAACATTGTTCCTTGACAACTGAGATGCCATCGGATGGCGGTAAAACAAAAACAGCCATCGCATCAGTACTTCAAAAAAAGAGAGAATTTGTGCATGCCGAACCGTCAGTATGTGGGGATTCACCGAACGTCAAATCGTCATCGAACATTGTGCATGTAGTGAAGGAGAAGGGCGAGTCCAAACCCAGGCAGCACGCGCACATCGACCTGAGCCAGATGGCCGTGCCCATCCAGCTGGCGCAGGAGAAGAGGAGCAGCCCGGAGTCGTCCCGGCCGCCCGGCCCCGAGGCTCAAGCGGGCGCCGCCGCTCCGCCGCCTGGTACACCCCGCCCAAAAAAACAATATGGCTGACGTTTTCCTCACAGCTAAAGTGAGCAGGACGGCTGCTTCGACGGAGGAGCACGCGGCCGCGTCCCCCGCGACCCCCTACAAAAGCGTCAGCCAGGTCCCCGTGGCAACCAAGCCGGTTGATGCACCGCCCGTAACCACGGTGACGCACATCGGCCTCAGGGTGAGGAGAAAGTGTAGTCTTTTCACTGTGTTAAAAAAAAAAAAGTTTCACCAGGCGGCACCACGTTGGGGAGACCTGTCTATCGTGACAGAAAGTGAAATTCAATCAATAAAAATCATCCCCCGACATTGGTGACTCAATTGGGTTGACATGTCACGACAGGACGTACAAAAATGTCCCGAATTTAACAGCAAGTCGCCCGTTTTACTCTGAGGCTGCCATTTCGGGCAAATTCATTCAGTGTGCTTCCTGGAAAGTTAGTCAAGTTCAGCCACTGACACCGGTTTCACTGGTCAAAAAAAGGTTTTGGGTCCAAAGAAGCCATTTTGGCTTGCAGACTTTTCCCTGAAAAGTTATTCCAAAAAACTAACAAAAAATTAGATCTCGACACCAATTTGATGAATCGACACCAAATTGGGTGGAAATGTCGATCATAACAGGATGCACAAAAAAGGACCCATGGCACAACTGAAACAGGAAGTCGGCCGTTTTGTTGACGCAGCCATTTTAGTGCAGGACTGCAGAGTTCATACCCGGACAAACTCCTACTCCTGGAAGTGTCAGGAGTATTCTCCTTTATTGATTGATTGATTTTTTTATTTGCATAACGTCATCTTTTGTGTTGCAGCCTTCCGATGGTAAAAGCGAGTCCATGTTGGAGGTGAGCGAGCTGGAAGGCGACACGCTGGACCCTCAGACAGGCTTGTTTTACCGCTCCAGCAACCAGACGGACGCCCCCAAGCAAGCCCCCCACGCCGCTCCTCAGCTCACAGCTGCCAGCCACCCAGAAGGCACCACTCCACCTCTTCCTCCTCTTCCTCTTCCTCCTCCTCCTCCTCTTCCTCCTCCTCCTCCTCCTCCACCTCCTCCACCGCAGCTGCAGAGTAAACCTCAGCTCAGCCAGGCTCCTCCCCCCTCCTCTTCCTCGCCCTCCTCTTCGTCCTCACCGGCCAAGAAGCTCCCCAAACTGAGAGAGCAGAGTCCGGCCAAGCCTCAGGGTGCCGCCCCCTCGCCCGTCACGCCGCAGCTGCCCAAACTGCAGCAGGCGCCCACGTCGCACCACAGGCCGCTGCACGCGCCCATGTCGCACCCTCCGCCGCTGCAGGCGCACCACCCCATTGGCGCCGACAAGGCCGCGCCGGTACAGGTCAGTCCTTCAACATATCGTGCAAATTGTACATGCGATACATATCGAGTTGGCTAAATTATCGGAGAACTTTAAAAACACATGCCACCTAATTTTCTGACATCAATTGTAAATTTTACAATATTTGCTCTTTGTTTTCCAGATTAAAAAAACAACGTATTAATAACTTCGGTCAACATTTTCTACCTCAATTTTTAAATCAGATAAGAGTAAACGTTGCTCAAGTGGGGAGAAAAAAAAGTGACTTGTGTGTTAACGGCAAATGTCGTGTCACGTGTCGGAGCGCAGCAGCCAATCATCACGCAGAGCGCCACCGTCACCAAAATCACCTTCGGCGGCGTCCACCACCAGCAGCAGGCGGCCCACGCGCCGCCCGTCCCCAGCGACGAGGCCGAGTTGGTGGGCGAGCCGGGCTCGGGGCCGGCGGTGGACGAGGAGGCGTCCGTGTCCGACATCCTCAAGATCTCCATGATGGAGGCCCAGATCGACCCCGGCACCGAGCCCGTGCTGGTGGATTCGTCCGGCGAGCGGCCATCCCTGGCGCAGGCCCTGGAGGCCAAGCGAGCGGCGGCCGTGGCGGCCCAACACTTTGCCAAAGAGCGCCTGGAGGTGATCCAGGTACGTCTGCGCTCCTTTCCATGCACCTTCATTATCGCCTTTGCCCAGTTTCAGTTTTCTGGACAATGTCTTTGCAATGCTTATTTTTGGTCATTTCATTTAACTTTGTGTTGACCCCCCCAACCCCCCCCCCCCCTCAAAAAAAAAAGGAGGAAAAATGAATAGAAGCTAGATTTGACTCGTGTGTGTTTTTTGCGGTGCGCAGGTGATCCCTCAGTACTCGATTGTGCCGGACTCGAGCCAGTCCAACGTGGTGGTGGAGCCCAGTGGCTTCCTGGAGATCACCAACTACACCAGCCAGCAGCTGGATGATGACGACGGCCCCGCCGAGCACGATGTGGACAGTGGTAACGACGCCGGCCCCCCCACGCCCTAGAACGGACCCCGCCCCGACCTCTTGATATACCCACTTTGTAACAGGGTACGTCGGACTTTTCTAGCCACTTTAAACTCTTCTCTCTCTCGCTCACGGATTTTTGATAGGAATGACAATGGATCAAAATAGTGTTGCAAAAGAAGGAATTGATGTACCGTTTTTGTTTTTTTTTGTAAGATACAATACCAAGAATTCATCTTAGTGTTTCAGCTTTTCCTTTTGTACCTTTTCAAAGTTGTCCACGGGATTTGTGTAATCTCCAAAATAAATGATCCCACTAGAAAACGTTTGTGTCACTTGTGAAGAGGAAAAATTTGGGCGTCAGTATTAAAAGCTCATCCACCTTCAGTGTACTAATTAAGATGGGAACATTTTATTCGCCCGGAAAATATTAGTTTACACAACACATCTTTTTGCGTTCTGGATTAAAGTGTGAAAACAGGTCACTCCCAATTTATTTATTTATCCCTGAAATATCAAATGTTCTTTCCTGGATTTTATAACATTTGTTTTTTTATATGATGTACATTGTGCCCCTGACCTCCCCCCACATGAACAATTTCTTTCGTTTTTAAGATAAAATGGAGACATGAGTAGAACATGATAGTTCTGTGGCAGTGGAGATCTTTGGCAAAAGTTCCAAATGTGTAAATAGCCACATGGTGGCATAGGACAGCCACATTTGCTCGGATGGGAGGTCAAGAACGCAAAAAAAAAACGGTCTCATTTTGCTGGATTGATGTCAAAGCCTGTTATTCATTGCAAACATTTATTATCATTTCTTCTTCTTACACGTTTATGATGCAAACCACACCGCCGCCGCCGCCACCACTACCACCAGCCTTGCTTTTGGAATGCAGTCGCCGCCTGCTGCTGCTGGAATGAAGAGAGACACAAGGGAACTGGACATGTGTGCTAATATCCCCCCCGCCCTCAAAATGGCATCTTCCTCCTACTTTTCTAACCGTAATCTTAAAAAAAAAAAAAAAAAGGGGGGGGGGGGGTTTACAACTGAAACAGAACAAGGCATGCATAATGTAACGAACATAAAGGATACAACGTCCATGTACCATTTTGGTGTACATTTCATACATTTGTAATATTGAGCTATTGCGCTACTTTTTTTAATATCAAAATATATATTAAAGAAAAGCGAATTGGGATTTTTTTTTTCTCTCAGTGTGAGCAAGGCAAGGAGGGGTGTTGGTCCTTTCCATTTATTGATGCTGTCATAAAAGTAAACAAAAAACATGATTGAATAGAAATGCCATGTATAGAACAAATGGATGCCGGTGTATGGAAGGGGGGGGGGGGAGTTGTCCACTTTGCGCTATAGAGAGGGACAAACGAATGTGTGGTTGTGTAAGTGCAGAACCCAAAGAACCAATAAAAGTCTATTGGGATCGAGTTGTTGTCATCGTCGTCTTGGTGGTGGGTGGGCGGTCACGCCCGCCGCCGCCGCCGCTGCTCTTTCTGTTTGTTGTAGTTGCGGTGAGGGTGCGGCAGGTGGCGCCGCCTTCAGTCGATGTACTGCGAGAGCCAGCGGAATCCCTCTCCATATCCTTGGCGCTTCAGCACGGTGCACATAAACACCTCCAGGGGTCTCGTGTTCAGCTCCTTCAGCGGGATGTTGCCCTGCGGTAAACCACACGCGCTCTGTCAAAGCCCTTTCAGTTTGAAGAACTTTTTTTTTTTTTTTAAGGCAGCCCAGCAGCGTCGCAGTCGGCATGGTGGTTCCGGGCGGCTGCTCACCTTGCCCGTCGTCTGGCCGTACAGTCCAAACATTTCCCTCAGCTGCTCCTCACTGATGGCCTCCGGCCGGTCGATCTTGTTGCCCAGGATGAGGATGGGCACGTTCCCGATGGTCTCGTCCGTCATCAAACCCTGAACACGCGCAAAAGCCACACACATGCGTTATCACCAGGAGGAAAGAAAGGCCGCGGTCCGACGTTCGCTGAACAGGCGCCATGAAGTGACAACCTTGGCCACGAGGGGGCGGTACGATACCAATGTACGGGTACACGCGTATGGAGCCGATGACCACAACTCGGTAAGTCACAAGAATATGAGTTGGTCTTTACATAGGATAAAGAATACATGCCTGTGAGTATGATTGTCTGTCTACGTGTGTTGCACAATCAAATGTGTTAAACCATCTATTGCTCAAAGGGTCATTTGCGACATGCATGCAAGGTTTGCTCGTTTCTGATGGGCAGCTAGCATTAAATTAAGCTGGACTTTTTTTTTTTTTTTTCCCTCAAGAAGAAGAATTGTTCCAACTGTGGCTGGTTGTGACTTTTTCAGTTCTTGGACTTTTGGGTGGAAATGCATCCGGGGTCCTATTGGAGGTCACTCACATCAAGCTCCGCTTTGGATTCTGCCAATCTGAAGCCGTCGGCGCAGTCCACGAGGAAAACGATGCCGTTGATGGCAGGGAGGTAGTGTTTCCACACTCTGCGGGCTGGCGGCAGCACGGGCACAGCAGGGGTTATTTGCAGCCACTTTGGGTCGCCGTAGCGCCAAGAAGCACCACCCACCTTGCGCGTGGCCTCCAAGGTCAAACGTGGTGAACGTCATGCCGGCAATCGTCAGCTCTTCTGAGGCTGCGTGACGATGAGGAGATGGAAGCAATCAAAAATGTCAGTGAAGGAAAAGGCAAAGCGTTCGGTTTCACATGGTGCTTGGCTGCGCTACTGACTGGGATGTAAAGTGGGCACGTGCTGTCCCAGTCTGTCGTCTTTGAGCATGTGCAGTAGCGTGGTTTTGCCGGCATTGTCCAGGCCGAGGAACACGAGCTTGCCCGACTTCTTGTACAGTCCTGCAAACAAAGGGCAACGTGTAGGGCTCAAAAAGAGGCAAATTGTGACACCCCTCCCCCACCAATAAGGTCAAGACCTACTCACTGACCGGCAGTTGTTTTTTGCCCCCCCCACCCCAAATTGCAGTCTTTACAGTTTGGAAATTTCATTGTACTCACTGCAGTGTCGATTCATGGTTCAATCCAAGTAATCGGACCAAAATGGATTTTGGATGATCAGCCAATAGTGACGCAACCAATGTGAGCCAAGAGCAACCCGGTTCCAGGTCATGTGACGTGCACCCTAATCAATGCATCAATCTGACTTTGGGACATTGTCATTTGCGCCGCATTTGGTTTGACGCTAAAATCTAATGTCACGTCGCACATCGACGGGGAAACAAAGTCTTTTGGAGGTGATAAATGAAGGAAACGTTAGTTTGACTCCCATCTTTTGTAATCATTCCTCTAAGGATGTTTTTTTTTTGGGTGCATGCCGTACTGAAAACACCTTTTATGCGTTTGCCCTCCTGTGAGTCAGCCGCCACTCCCGACCCAAAGCTACTTGTCATGCCTTGACTGCGACTGACGAGCGCGGGGTGCGACCTGCGTGACAGGGAGAACAGGACCGACCGCCACCGCTCTGGCCAGAAGAGCGGTCGCAAGGCCACGCACTGATGCGCTCGAGAACGCAGGCAGCATTTGAGGGGTTGCTAGCATTAGGGCCTCGCGTGCAGACTTGAGGGGAAGTGAGAAGTACAAGCATTGAGTGTGTGTGTGCGTGGTCTCGAAAAGTCGATAAGTTGTCGTACTCACCTAAAAACTGTAGTACACTATTGAACCCGCTATAAATCCAATCAAATATGAATGACATATTTGGAGCTGTTCAATCCTGTGAAAGGAAGCACATCCGAGAATTACAACCAAGGCAGAAAAAAGGCAAGGCAAAGTTTAGGTTCAGCTGGCAAAACATCAAGTGGTACAGTTGGCACAATGTTGGCAAATTAATTTCACAATTAAAGGAAAGTAGAAAAAAAAAGTATTATACGCTTAAGCACTTGTACTGTCTTTGCGTGGGAAAAATTTTGAGGTTGTGGCTTTTCTTTTCCTTCTTTGAAATCCCTTTCTCGAGCACCGTAACCAGTCGCGTCCTCTCCTCGCGCTAGTGATGTAACATCTTCGGGGCTAAAGTGTAACAGAGCCAAAGGTTGCCACCACATCGACTTCAGCCGAGTTACACGTCATCCCAGGGGTCACGTCAGCCGCCTCGTTATTGGCGTCACGTGCGCTAAGAACATGCGAGCGAGCCCAATGCCGGCCGGCTCGATTGTAGCCAACGTGCGGAAAAAAAAAAAAAAAAACAAACAATTGTCAGCAGAGGTAATTACTTGGATAGCGTTGTTCTGAAGATAATATAGACAAATTTGGAGGTTCGTTGGAAAGTTCAGGCAAAGGAGAGAGAGGAAAAAAAAAAAAAAGAAAAACAAGGCCCTCGGTTTATGACATCCAATTATCTGAGATTACAAACTGCACATAATGAACTACTCGTAGCCTGGTTCACACATGCCTACCAGTTTGATGTTTTTTGAAAATTAAAGGTGGTAAAATGCATAATGAGTATAATTAGGCTATGTTGCGATTCCTCGCACCGGAATGTTGTCACACGAGTACTCTCCTGTGCACAAAGGCGCATCCGGGAGACAAAACACCCGGACGGCTTTCCTCTGTGACGAGCAGGGCAAATATGCGGTCCCGAGCGGTTGATCGATTTCCATCCCTTGACTTTGAATGGCGCTTAGCCCGTTTTCAACTCGCAGGTGAGCTGGAGCACGCCGAGCCCGCTGCCCTGCTGGCAGATTACGCCCCGGACTGGTCACCGGTCAATCTCTGGCCATTCAAACTTTCGGCGAGTGGGAAGTGAACCCACGCTTCCCACAGCATAGTCAGGTGAGCGGACCACTCGATCCATCGCTTTTATAAGATGAATTTATCTGGCTGATTTAAAAAATAACTAAATAAATGAATGTCATCAATTACTCGTCAGCAGCTTCCGTAATTCTGATGTGAACTTCACCTGGAATGACTCAACGCAAGGGCAGATGTCAAGTGCAGGTATCATTTTTGTCTACTCGGGCTCACCATCCACACATTCGATTGGGCTATATTGTGACTTTTGAGTGAATAACAGCTTTATGAAGGGAGAGAGGTGAGTGACATGGGCGTCAGTGACTGAGTGTGCTCAGGGTAGCTGTTGCGTGACCTCAGGCCGTCGGTGGCTCCCGTACGAATGTATCCGCGTGTTACATGTTGCTCATGTTTGTTCAGTCAAGCAATTGAAGGTGCACTGGTGACTGGGTCTCTTTTTATCCACAGCTGTACATGTGACTGCACTCATTTTTAGTCTTTTTTTTTTTTTATATCCCTGCAAAGTTTGAGGTAGGGATTTTATTACTCATTTTTCAATCTAATTATTCATGTCATTGTTTCAGGCCTAATTTTAATACATCAGTGACAGGAAATACGGTATGGTGGGTCCTTGATTTATGACAATCTCGTCGTCGTTTTACACTTACGGTGTACACATTTATTGGAATGATGATATTTTCGAGGATACTAACGCCACACAAGAGAATGTAACTCCGTTGTAAAAACCAATGTACAAGGAGTATTTTGTTATTCTTATTACAATGGTCAACAAATGTTTTTTTTTTTCCTTCCAATCAGAGATACATGTCAACTTTTCTAGATGATGCCAAGGAAGGCAATTGAGAACAGATTCTTATTTGCGGTGCTGACTTGGCATTATGATGGGAGTTGCAGACGAAAACGAGAAGACTAGTTTCCTCCCGTGGTGGGGGAGACAGGTCGATGAATTTCGCTGACACAAGTAACGTCAGAAGTACATTTGGAAAATAAAACACACCGATCTACTGGAAATGATGCTGCACTTCACCTCAAAACCGTTGCCTTAAGATAACGAGAGCTCGACTAGCTTTGGGTTCTTATTTAATCCCCGCCACGTCACGCCGAGATCAGGCTGTTTTCGAATCAGACTTGTTTAAATATAAAAAGGCGAACAAGGGAGTATCTAACAAAAAAAATATATATATACACATCTATACGCTATATGCTAGCGGCTCTCGGAGGAGCTAGCAGGAAGCTACTAGTTACGTGTCATTTTCTCCGATCGACGCCGTCGCATCGACAAGCCCCAAAACTGGTGAGCATCGAACTAACATAACATAAGCGACCCACTAAGACTAACCACAAAAAACAGCGAGTTGTTTTCAGAAAACACTTGCTCTTTCTTGACTAGAAGCAGTCGGATCGAAAAACCGAAGTTAGCCCAACTTGACGTTAGCATTGTTAGCCTAGCATGGGTCGCGACCGCGATGGCGAACGTTTCGCCTTAAGACGGCCGACTATGTGCGCGTCATCCGCCGGGAAACTCACTCGTTCTTCAGGCGTGGATTCGTCTGCCGAATACGTTGACTTGTCTGCTCATGTGAATGTGGCTTGGGGAAAAATGCGATGTGATCCCGCTGACAGCCAGCTCGCTCTTTCGATCGCTCGCCTGTCTCCCCCGTTTTTTTTTTTTCGTGTTGTTAACTGAGCCACGACACCGCAATGGCTTCTTCTGTTTCTACTTCGTCTTTATGTCGAACGGCGATTTGCACACTGTAGTATCACACTACCGCCATCTAGTGATTATACTTTAATCGCGTCGAACAGCGGTTGTTTAGAAAAAAACATGTCCGATAGGCGTGTAGACCAGTCAAAATCCCCAAATACAATCAATCAGTCTAAGTAGATCCAAAAAACATTATCATTTAGATTTAAATACACTCCGAACATACAATGCACATTTATTGTTCCGCTGGCGGAACATGCGTTACTGAGGCGGAACTATTTGAATGAGGCACCAAGCCCCATGTTATCGAACTTCTTTACTTCCGTAACACGTTATTTCTCATGTGACCACATTTTACCGAATTATAAACATATTGCGATTAACCTGAGTCAAAAGACGATCAATATTGTCATGTTAGGGGCATTTATTGATTCATTTTGTTAGCGTTAGCGTTTTCAACATGTCAGATTTACACACACTGACATAAGCATCTTCTCACGACCTAAGTGCAACAAAGACGATGACGTTGGATACCACCGATGACTGCAACGAAGCTGAAGTCCCCATGGAGCAAATGATCTCTCACACAGGCCGCGCTGAGCTGCATCATGCGCTGCAGGCCTGCATGGGCGAGTATCAGGACTGGCGAACTTGCCAGAGCCATGTAGGCATGTTTAAAAAATACATGGGTGGTTGGATGACCAACACCAAGACCACGCCGACCTAAGACCTGGCCATATGAGACCACAATCAAATGGGGTTTTGGCATGTCGAGGCACAGACTGTACGTCATTTCAATGTAATATGTACCAGATATGGATTAAACTTGTTTTTACTTGACATCTCCTGACTCTGCAAGCACAAATAAAGAAATCAAATTTGATGATACAATGTTCGAGAAAGAAGAATGTAAATGTCCTGGATTTGAGTAACAGTATGGCAACCTGATTCTTCCATGAAGAAAAGCAACAATGATGAAAATATTCGTTAGCTGCAATCCAAGGTCCCACAGAACATTTGAGGCAACTTCCAAACCACATGTGCAGCCTATCTGAGAAGCACTGCCTGCACCATGTTCAGATGGGCACAGGTTCTCGTTTTATGTGACTTTCTCCCCTGGTAATGATTTTTACGAAGCCGCCGGCTTTGTTTGAGACTATGTGACCCCTGCTAGAAACAAACCAAAGACATTAATGAAGCGCATTTGGGCGTAGAGACAAGTTGGCGTCCACAAGCGGCGCTTGTTTCTCCTCGACTGCAAAATGGAGAGCACGACAGGAAATGCCACGTGTACACACTGCGCATGCTCGACAATTTCGACGTTGATCCTTCTTGGGTGATCCCAATTTCCGGTTTGTACACGACTGCTTTCGCCTAGGCCTTGCTATTGCCGTAGTGTCACTTGCGACGGGGACTTTTCGTCCCGCAGCCATGGCCGTGTGATCGAGCAAGACAGACAGTCACATTTTTCAAGACAAACCCAGGCCGCCGGCACGAGGACGTTTGTTTCTTAACCCAGCGACTCGTTCCACAACCAGTAGGATAAAAGGAGAAGAAGAAGAGGCTAATCGCTCACCCAAGCTAACCGCTCCCAATCGGAACCCGGTGACCGTTTTCAAGATGTCAACTGCGGGCTTCAACGGCCAGAATGTGACTGGACAGCCATACGTCAACGGTAAAGTCTTGAGGCGAAAGGCGGTCACTTGTTTGGCTGTGAAACGTTTGCTAATGGTTAGCTCGCTGATTCGCCTTAAAAAGGGAGGGAGGGGGGTAAAGAAAAAGAAAGACGCCGTGCTAAGTTCGTCAAAGACCGTCGAGTCAACTTGCCCAAAGTTCGAGCTACTTTCTAAATAAACGCGTGTGTGTGACGTCGTGTCATCTTGATTTTAACTTGGATTTGTGGCAAAAAAAGCTCGGGCCGGAGTATTGAACTTGGTTGAAAAAATGAGCCTTCTGTCATTGGTGGTGGTGAGCAGCCGCGTTTTGATTCAATGAACAACTTCGTCATGTGCTCTCAAGCTTCTGGAAGGTCTTTTGTGGCTCAATATCCGCGCCCTGTTGTCATTAGCACAATCGAATGATTACGATATCAGCGTAGTAGCGTTCAAACTTTATCGGTGTCTTTTTTTTTTTTTTTTGCCCTACTTCTCACTGTCAATGTGGCACATGGGACTTGATCCAGTTGAAAAAAATACCTTAATTCTTGTGCACGAATCTCCTCTTCCTCAATTTAATGGGTTTTCTCTGTCTGCAGGGGTGCTTCTCACAACCACGTTTTAAAAACATCGAATGTTGTTTTTATATATTTTTTTCCTTCACGTGTTTATTGTGCAGTTTTCTTTGCTGCATCGTCCTGTGTCGGAAATACATTTCGAACCGGAACTTTGTTTCCCAACTTTGGATGAGCCTGTGAACATATTTCACACTTGGAAAAAAAATGATGACAAAAATAATGCAAAAAAACTATTATCTCACCTCAATTTACTCACAAATTGGAGTGGCTTGAAATGTATACCGTACCTGTTTAATAGAGCCCAAAGCTGTCATTTTGTTGTATGAGCGGCAACAGGTGGTTGCCCACATTAATGAGAGAGGGAGAGAGCATTTTGTGAAAGCTCAAACACTATAGAACAAAAATAAGACTGAGAAAGGGCTTTGGATGGCAAAATTATTTATTGTCAGCTATACAGCTAAGAAACAGGCATTTCTCTCCCTCAAAACGTAGGTGAGAAGCTGAGATTCATCACCTAATCTTGATCTTCAACTCATAAACTGTGCTGATCTCACCTCCGAAGCCATTTACAGGGAGCTTTTAGTCGTTACATTACAAACAATTTGGGCCTAACATCGACAATTTCCAGTGGATTAGGAGCCTCGGTCATTCATCCCCAGGCCTTTGAGAAGAGAGCTTGTCCTCGTAATCCATTTCCACGGCGGGACTGTCGTGATGCAGCGGAGAGCAACATATCATGACAGTTTGCCGTTGAATTACGAGGAATGTTCTTGTCATACTGGCAAAGATTTTTCCTGTTATTCAAGCGGGAAAAGATTGATCAGAGAGCCGCGTGGTGTCAAAAACTCCACCTTTTCGAGAAGCCTTATCTGCAAAAGTAAAGGATTCTCTTAGTATCTGCTATTTTAAGCATCAGCAAAACGTACAACAGTCACTCCCACGGAGCCACTCAGGGCAGATCAAGATTAAGGGAGCCAGTATGCAGGTACAGGTGTGCGCTGGCACTTCATTGGGTACAGTAGCGCGCTTGTGATCGTCAGTCAGGTGTGTTCACTTTTAAGCGAGCGCTCGCCATCCACCGGCGTGTTTGTGCGCTTTGTTTGCTCACGCCGCCGTTCAGTTGCCGGTGGGAAAGGGCCCTTTTTGTTCACGTGTCATTTAACTGTCAATTGGACGTGAAAATCAAATAATGCGTCCCGTGTGACGCGTTCGCCGCCTCGAGTGTTGGTACGAGTGAGCAGACTCGAGGGTTTCTCAAGATAGGTGTTCAACAAAAAGCATACAGTCAATAACGCTCAAATTAAACATGTCGCTTGTCGACGACTCAATTTCCATCTCCGTTTTCATTCAAGTAGCAGGAATGCTCCCTTGCCATTGACCCGAGTGGGCTCCGAGCCTCCCCAGCGTCTCTCTAACCTTGTGACATTTCCAACGGTTTGCAGGTCCTTCACAGAATCCAGTTGGTGTCCAGCAGCTCCCAGCGGTCAATTACGGCATGACACACCAACCCAGCTACATCCCGATGCAGGCCAAGGTTGCAGCGCCCCCAGCCCCCGGTCCCGGACTCTATCCCTCCGGGCCATACCAGCACATCCCTCCAGTCAGCTCCCATCAATCTGGCCCGCCGCCGCCCTCGTCCTATCCAGCCCCGCCCAACCAACCTCATCTCCCCCGCCCCCCTCCG